CACTGGTCATAAATAATACAGCTTAATGGCGACAGCTTTCTTTCTATATTTGATACAAACTACCGTCGTTAACGCCTAAGCGTGTACACGTCATCACAAAACATGTTCTAATTAGATTCAAAGAAGACAAGTTTACATCTCAAACTTCAGGGTTTATAACCAAATCTCGTACAGATTTAATACCAGTACTGTATTAGATGAAAAGTGTGTTTGCTCACAACAATTTTCGAGCTTTTATCAAGGGCAGCACTAGGCCAAGGCTTCAGAGGTTTTTTAGCGCAATTTGCAAACATTTTCAAAGCGAACTCTGACATAAAACCTTTTTTGGTATGGCAATTTTTTATGTAAACATGTACGTAAATAAATGCACTTAAATGGCTTCCTAATTACTAGCAGCCACTGGGCCAATCAGGTGCGTTGAACTATTATTATATAAATGCGATTGAAATCAACAAGTTAATATTAATCACCAATTTTAATATATACGTACGGCGTACGTTGCATTAATATGACGGAAAGGAGAACTATTGAGAATTTTTTAAGCGAAATCGACAAAGATCTAGTCCAATATGCGAAACAATTACGGAAATATGGATTTACGTCGAACAACAGTATGAAGCATTGGGTAGAAGCGGACTTTCAATTAATCAATATGCAAGTGCCAGAGGGTCACAAGAGAATGATTATGGAAGCCGTTTCGAGAATGTCAAGGACAAGCCCTCAATCAAATAAAACCAAACGGAAAAATACACCAACTGTAGGAGAAAGTCCAGAATCAAAGTCCCACTGTGCTGAGTCTAGTAAGGCACGCAGTGTACGTAGTCCAAGACCAAGAAATAGAAGAACTGACGGCTTTCCCAGGCGCAGACTTAACCAAGAAATGATCTGTTTCAGTATGCTAGAGGAAGTTACTGATTCTGAGAATGAGGACAATATCAGGGACGAACCGGACGATGGAGCGGTACATAAAGTCCAAGGAAGCTGAAATTCGCGCTACAAGTATTGAAATCGAGGAAAAAAGGCAAGAGCTTGAACATACAATAAAGCAAATTGAAAATGCCTCTTTACTGATGGGAAAAACGGGACAAAAATGTTCACATTGTCATCAAAGAAACCACACTGTAAGATCATGCAAAGAAAATAAATGCGAATCTTCATTATTATGTGGCTTGCTTTCGAAACATCCTGACGAGAAAAAACAATTTGATGAAAAAAAACGCGCTGTTGCTGCCAGAGAAACATCTCTCAAGAAACTACAACAAGAACTAACATCCCGCCAAAATTCGTTTTACCGTGTGAACAATTCCGTTAACATGAACATTGAAGATATGTTAATTCAAGAATATCCCGAAGATTATGTGATAGACGGTACTCGCAACTGGTTAAAACTCCAGAAAGACGTCGCTCTTGTTAAAAAGAACATCCGAACTAGCAGTGATATAACGCGAAGTAAGATTAGAAGCATACTAAGCACCAATGCTGGGCTCAGCTTACCACCGAGAATGGACAGCGAATTTGATAATAAACCACAAAAAACAGCAATGCAATGTAAACTGGAGTCGTACGGGGTGAATTTTCCAATTAGATCGATGTCCAAGACGAAAAAATGCGAGTCGGTCGACATGGCTTTTTCTACATATTTGCAACCTAACAGCGAAGATGAAGAGATCGAACAGCTAAGAATGGCGACAAAGCTTTCTTTGGTTACTAAAGAGCCGAGTATGTTAGACATTGCGGTCGACGATGTTATGAATACTGGTGAGACACAGGGTGAGGCATATGATCATGGTATGAGTGTTGAAAAGACAAACAAAGACTCGAACGAAGAAGCGGCAAACATTCTTTTAGGCATGAGCCGTGTTCGTGGTAATATGGAAAATAACAATCTGGTATGACTTTTACTGTATTTTTAATTTAGTTTGGCATTTAGCTATGTTAAGTTTTGTTTTATAGTTTTGGTTTTGTAGTTGATCAGGTGAACAGAAGCAAACTTTTCATGTCACTCTTGAGTATGTTAATACTGTTTTTAGACTACTGTATCAGTCAATGACAATCTATCTCGTTTGAGACAGTGAACATATAAAGTCATATAAACATAGTCACATATATATAACGTTGAGTTTTAATACTGTAAGTACTACTAAAATCGGACATTAGGTAATTAATACTTTGTCTTTGTACTTATGAATTCGATTATTTAATTACATGTTAAAATAACGAGTATGACGATAATATCCATATGTGTCTGCAGCAGTGATATCCCCAACCGCACACCAAATTGCGAACTCGAGGTTTTGAAAGACTATGTCTTGATACGTGTACTTTAGAAGATATTTCAACTTTGAAAAAACTTCTTCGACTGGATTGAAGTCTGGTGAGTAAACGGGCAAAAACAATAGTTCAACTCCGATTTCAGACAATGTTTCTCTAAGAAATCTTTCCCCTTCTCCATTATGTGTTGGACAATTATCTATAACAATTACATCACCAACTTCTATAACTGGGCGTTCTGTTTGAGGATCTATTGTTCGCAATGCATCCGTAAAAAAACATAGAAATTCCAGTGTATCGCAAGCGCCATCAATTACATTTGCGTACTTCAGTCCATCAATTCCCACCAAAAAATTGAGAGTTTTGTTCGCTGTCGAATTGTATCGACGAATGTCAAGACATGGTTTGCCCACTTCTGAATAACCGTAATTCCTATGTCCACTATTTGGAAGTTGAAAGCCTGATTCATCGAAGAATTTAATGGCAGCTGGATTTTTGGTAGAAATATAGTCGAGATATATTTGAGTATAAATAAGATTTTCATTTGTAAATCGTTGATCAACACATTTTCCGAGGCGTTTACGAGAATATTTAAGTCCACTTGGCAAATTGCATCGTACATTTCGCGAAATTGTGTTGAGTGAAATTTGACCGCAATTGCCATACTCATTTAATTGTTCCTGCATCTCTCTTAAGGACGTTGAACCCTTATTAGCAACTATCGTTTCCAACAGAAGCGAGTCATTGTATGAAAGTTTGCTTTCAGTTCTAATATGGTCTCTTGGTAGAGACGTCATTTGACCTGTGTCACGATACCGCTTTATAATTTTTGAGACAGTTGACGGTTGAATCCTAAGTCTTGAACTAATTTCCCGGTAAGAGTTATTGTTATGTGACAGTTCAATGACTTGATGTCGATAATCTTTGGACAAGGAAACTCCAACTTTATAATTTCTTCCAAATTTATTGATAGAATACATTGTTTAATACAGTATAATATTTTTGAAACCGTTATGTTTGCGCAGGAAACTGTTACGTTTTGAACCGATTTTTTGAACTTTGAATCTAATTAGAACATGTTTTGCGATGACGTGTACACGCTTAGACGTTAACGACGGTATGACTTTCGCCTGTTTTGCAGACTAGGTTACAATACATAAGCAACAATAATTTTATGCTAAATAGATAAAGCACAACACAAACTTGATAGTCACAACTTGCTAGACGTACATTAACATGAATATTCAATTATATTTAAATAAATACGCACAGTTACGGAATAAATTGACATAAAACGCAAAATATTTACTTTGTTTAGCCATCTAGACAACAAAGCATGTTAGATTTGTTTAGTACAAGATGCTATGTACAACATTAAACCAAAATGGCAATTGGGGAAAGCGATTTTATGAGTCCGCACAATGGGTTTCCATTTAACCTGTGTTTATTGACGTTTAAGGCTATATAACTGCTCATGTGAAGAACGAATAATGAAATAAAAATTGGTAAAAATTCACCAGGTCAAAATCTATAACATTAAACCATGACAGGTTAAACTTAACCTTGTTTTCTTTTTAAAAATCGTGCCCAACTTGGTCTACCCATATTTCAACCTTGGCTGAAACTTGACCCATGCATTAATCTACCTGAGTACAATACTCCACAAATAATAAAATTTTTGCATTAAGCATGCTTCTAACTTTGAAAAAGTATTGGTTAATATATGGTTTTACTAATACGTTTCAAATTTTCAACTTTGTAGCCCTAGAAAGTACATTCGCCTTGATGGTACTGCTAGACATCCTGAGAAGGAAGAAACAAAAAACTGCAGCTTCTTCATTGAGATTATTATAGTGTAAGTCTGAGGCCTAATATTGTTCTGGCTGATAATTTCAGCAAATAGAATAAATATTATTCTGAACAAAGAGTGCATGATAATAAAACCCTTTTTAAAAAGTTATAAAAATATGTGAATGCTGTTTTTAGCATTTGATATACACTTTAAGACCTGACCAGGGACGATTGTGAAAAATGCAGCACAAGGTCCTCCATGGTAGGAATTGAACCTACCATAAGGCCCTGTGATTCCAGTGCAGTAGGTTCAACTCCTACCAGAGGACAGTCTTTTCACAGTCGTTTCTGGTCAGGTCTTAATTAAACGTGTATATATACTCACTTGTATTCAGCATTCCAGTATTACCAAGTGAAGTGCAGAAACCAGATGTAAAAATTTGTGTTTTCATTATGCACTCTGTTTGTTCCTGTTCGGAATGACACTTATTCAATATCTGATGTGTAAGCACTGCCCCCAAACTAAATTATAGTTACCCATTGAGTGGCAGCACTCTCGACTTGATGAGTAAAATCGTCTGGTGTTAGACAGAGTAATTACTAAAGTAGGATGCATTGCCACTTAAAGGGGTTAATAGAAAACACACATAGTTAGAAAGCTTCACAAAAGCCATTGTTCTATGTTATGTTCACGTTTATGGGTTTTAGTACATGCTCTTTTACAGCAAGTGAACATATTGTTTCTGTATAATGAGGGACTATACCAATAGAATCCGTAGGCTTCAAATGATTAATTTTACTCTTCATGGGAAGAGTGCACCACTCAATGGGTTAATCAATGCAAGACAAAAGATTTGTTCATTTTCAGGTACATTTCAACATCAGTTGAAGCTGGAATAGGAAACTCTGAAGTTTACCGGCCTTGTTAACCATGTTTATTTTTTAATAACTATGACTAAATGGACCAACTACTAAGCACGGTGGGCAAAAAAGACAGCAAATTTGGCCACGTACATATAACTTTCTGTCGTTAGTTTGGAATATCACGAAACTCCCTCACAGGATAGAACTTAACATTCCTAAAAATCATATGTTTTTTGTTTTTCAATTTTGTTACATTTTGGCGGGAAAATGACGTGCCAAAAACTTAAACACGAGCTAAGAACAAGTTAGTAACTTTTTTGAAGAGTTTGTCCTATAAGGATCTCAAAACTGTATAAACATTAAAAATACAACAAGGCAGTGCGAAGATATGGGAATTCAAAGTTCGAAAAAAATCTATTTTTAGTAACAATACGGCTGATTTTTCAGAAAAATAGAACTTTGAATCGCCATATCTTCGCACTGCCTTGTTGTATTTTTAGTTTTGTATATAATAGTTTTGAAATCCTTATAGGACAATCTTTTCAAAAAAGTTACTAGCATGTTCTTAGCTTGTGTTTAATTTTTTGGCGCCAACGTTTGGCACGTCATTTTCCCGCCAAAATGTAACAAA